TTGCAGATCTTCCTAAGATTTAATATGTCATATAAAACAATTTTCTTGAATATGTCATGATTTTATTATGCAAGTGTAGGTATACTTCTAAGCCAAAAAGATTGTTCGCCTCAATTTATATATCATTGAATTATTATCCCAAAAATTACCAGGAACCAAAATTCGGCTTTTTTTGCCGTCCATGCCCCATATAATCTAACAATTCATCTATCTGTTCGCTTTTTTTGCACCATAGGGTGGTTATAAAAAATTTTAACAATTATTCGAGAGTTGCATGACAAGATATACAAAGCTTGCAAAACGAGGCTTTGTAAAATATACTTGATGGATGCTTCATCAATTCAATAATAGAAAATTAGAATTGTATGATAGGCGGGTTATGTAAATACAGGATGTTGTTAACCTCTTCTTCACGCCCCGTCATATTTTGTAAATAATCAATCAATCAATCACACACTCGCATTTTGGTAATAGTAAATAAAATTATTACACAAGAGTCACTGCTTTAATGTTAATATTTAATAAAATCTAGCTACTCCACGTTAACAAAAATATAAGGTCAAAATGTCTCATCCATTATTGATAGAAAGCGATTCACCCTTGCATAGTAACATCCATGCTAACAATAAGAACACATACGCTAATCCCTTCGAGATGTCATCAAACTTTGGTTCAGATCCAACACATGTAACAATAGAACCTGACGATGTAGATCTTTCCTCGCCACTTGCTCGTGTTTCTGCAAATAATGCAAAATTTAGCAGCAACAGCAGCGGTAGCAATAGCAATAATAGTTATAATGTTAATGTTATTAATGATAATAGTTCTTCAGGACCTATAAACGTTACAGGTTCAATTGGTAGTCAGCCAATTAGAAGATTTGCTAATGATACTTTGGATGAACCAGTTTCAGAAACCATCGTATGTTTTGTTATTTAAATTGATTTGTTGAGAAGTAAAATTAAAATTTTCATTGATGATAATTATCACATATATTAAATAGCTTATTAGTAAAATCCATTTCAATTTAAAAAAATTGTTTTAGCTTCGAGATGTAAAAAACGTCGCAGTTAAATTACAACAAGTTCTTAAACCTAAAGGAGGGCGTAAAGATATTTTAAAAGATTGTAAGTATTTATAGTTGCTTGTAATTAATTAATGCTCCTAATTTTTAATTTAATTATATTAATAATTAATAGGGGATTTGTGGGGACCATTGTTTCTTTGTTTAACACTTTCGATGTAAAGTTTTAATTTTAATAGAATTTATTTGTTCTGTTTTTTTTTTTTAATCGTAAAAATATTTAATTCTTTAATAATTCTTTAGTGTTTTATGTCTAAAGGCACCAAAAGATCAAGAAATTGCAGTGTTCACAGGTGTATTTGTTATTGTATGGTGCGGTGCAGCAGCAGTTACGATAAATGCAAAACTTTTAGGTGGTAATGTGTAAGTACTCATCCTAATAATTCTTTTTCATATTAAAATACTTGAATAAAGAAACGAACCAAACCTTCTTATAATATCTATAATATCTACTCACGCTATTATTATTTATTATATAATTCCAGATCTTTTTTTCAAAGTGTGTGTATCCTAGGGTATTGTATATTTCCGTTGGTGCTTGTTGATGTTATTGTTACAGTTTTTCATGTATTGAATTTCTGGATTAGAACTCCTTTGATAATTGTTGCATTTGCATGGTCATCTTACGGTATGCACCAAAAAAAAAATTCTTTTTGTGGAAGGTTATTAATAAAATAATTTTTTATTTGTTATTTATATAATGTGCTGTTTTATTTTACAAATTTTAGCATCGGTAAATTTTCTTTCCACATCACATTTAACAAATCGAAGAATGCTGGCAGTATATCCGTTATTTTTATTTTATTTCGTTATTGGATGGATAATTTTGATTTTGAAATAATTTAGTATATGAGTTGTTATTATTAATTAATTAATTAATTTGTTATTGTTTTTTTTAATGAATTAATGTTTTTTATTAAAAATTATTTTTATCTATTATAAAAACTCTTATTATCATAAATATAAATAATACATGTAAAAAATATCTTTCACTTCACGTCAATTTGAAATTATAATTTTTAAATATTTCAATTGAATATATAAAAATTAAAATATTATAATTAGAGAACAAAAAAAAAATTATAATGAAATTACAAAAAATATATTTCACTCAATAATATTAAAAATAATTTACTATATGATAATAATTTCACCAATACAACCTGAGCATCTTTCGATTTCAAAATCACTACTAAATTGTGAAAAAGAGACACGGCGATTGGTTATAGTTGGTGATGAAAGTAATTCTTTTTGTTGCTGTTGCTGTTGCTGCTGCTGTTGCTGCTGTTGTCGTTGTTGTTGTTGTTGTTGTTGTTGTTGTTGTTGTTTATCTATTGAATAATCATCATCTTTAATATTTTTTGATTTCAATAGTAATGATTGAAGTTGTGCAAGTTGTGATTCAAGATTTAATGATTTTTGTCGTTCTTTAAAAAGTTGTTGCCTAAGTTCTTGATGGTTTGGAGATTCCAATTTATTATAATTTAATTGTTCATCATTTATGTCTTTAAATTCTTCGACACTCCTATTCTTCTCGTGAGCAATTTCTTGATTATTAATTATTCCATATTCTGAATGTGATTTCCTTGTCAAATCAAGTTCTTCGATCAACCTTTTCATCTCTGATTCTAATCCTGCTATTCTAGATCTTCCATTACTAATTTCTTTTGTTAATAACAATTTATCTTTACTTATTTCTGCGACATTTTCCCTCAATTTCTTCAATTCTGTCAATTGTGATGACAAATCATGATTATCTGTTTTTGCTTGTTGTAACTCTGCAGAAAGATTATCCTTTTCAGATTCTATTTTTGCAACAATCGCAGATTTCAATTTTAACTGATCAGTCAAATCGGTGATTTCGATTTTCTCTGATTCAAGTTCAGAAGAGATCAATTGAAGACTTTGTTGCAATTCATTTTTTTCATTGGTTAATAATTGTAATTGATTATTCGTGGAATCAATTATCGATTGTTTTTCGTCAGAATTACGTTCAACCACCAAAGTTTTTTCTTGTTTTTCTGATAATTGTTGCACCAAATCATTAAATCGAATTTTAAAGTCTGACAATTCCATTTCCAACTTTTCGCCATGCTCTTCTTTATCTTTTATTATTTTTTGAAGTTTTTCTACTTGATTAGATGCAGAAAGAAGATTATTTTTTTCAGTTTTCAATTGTTCTATAATGGAATCTTTATCGTTTAATTGTGATAATAGTTGCTTATTGTCATTTTCAAGTTGTTGAACTTTTGTATTCTATCAATTAAAAAATGATATATATATATTATTAAACATGTAAATAACTAATTTCATATATATCTATGTATTGACTTTACACTGATTTATTGTTGCTATTATTACCTGTAATTGCAATGACCCAACTGTTTTTTCATTTTGCGTGTTTGCATCTTTTAATCGATCCTCGATAGTTCGAATCTTTTCTTCTAATTCATCATTTTGCCTTCTTAAAGCATCAACCAATAATTGTCCCTCCTTTAATAATTCCTCGCTACTTTTGAATCTATTTGCCATTGCTGAATATTTTTCCAATTCAGATTCTAATGCTGTCTTTTCTTCTACCAACAATGTAATCGTTTGTTGTTGCATTCTATATAGATTTGCTAATCCTTCAAAAGTGATAGTCTGCTCATCAGAAGAATTTTCTGTAGAAGTGTTACTATTGATTGGAGTTGTTAAAGTATTGGTTTGTGACTCTTTTTCACTAGATTGATGATAATCAATTGGTTGAAGACCTTCAACTATTGAACCATGTGAAGATAAATTATTTGTTGATGGTGATGAGCGTTGTTGTATATAGACTGTTTGATGATGACGATCGTTGACATCTCTATAAGTGAGATTAATTGTTAATAGTATTTAATTAAAAACAAAAGAAAGAAACATGAAATCTCAAACTTACTGTAACTGATTTTGATTTGACTCAACTTCTGTAATAATAGATGTTGTATCATTCTGTGAAATATTTTCTTCGACATTTGTAATGATTCTATTCAAAAACAATCGATTATTTATGTTAGAATATTTGATAATTTTATTCTTATATATATATAAATTATAAATTTATATTCTAGTATTTTATCATCAGTCTAATTTTTTCAATATCATCACTCCCTATCTTGGAGGGAGATCAAACTTAGATGTTCTGTTATTTTTTAAAAGATCATCATTTAACTAGATTCTTATATTAAACTTAATAGTCGCTTACTCTGACACTTTGCCATCGGCATAATCTGTTTTAACACTTCCCGCATCTGAAGACATACTTGATCTTCTGGTGCTACTAGTTGTCACAGAATCAGCATTAATTTTATCCACTGAAGACACATTATTGGCTTTCTTTTTCTGATACTTTTTGAGCTAAATTCGACAAAAGAATTAATCATGAATTGATTTTGTCATCCAATATTTGATCAATTTTATAAATAGAAATTATACGAACTTTCTTTTTTGCCGCTAATAATTTTTCTTCCCGAGCAAATGCATCATTATCCATCTTGTAGCGTTTATTAAGAACTATAATGGTTTCTTTTAATTCAAATCAACTAATATTTATCAAAAATAGTAAAAATATTGTTTAAATATATAAATAAATTTCAAAGATAATTAATGATAACAATGGTTTTTGTGGTACATGAATTGATACAATCCCATTATTGTAATTGGCGGATTTTGATTGGTTTAGGTATTTACAAGGTGGGTGGGTGGCCTAAGCCATCAGCCAATCAGCATCCAGTGAACCAAATTGGTCTAACCATAAATAAATAGACTTTTACAAACCCATTGGTTTCATATGATTTATTATTATCGTGTGTAAGCATACTAATAGAATTTACATCAACAAAATTTTTCTCCTTTATTCAAAAAAAAAAATTTTTTTACAGATTTTGTTCTAACATTCACATTTACTTTTAACGAGCATTTAAAGATCATCATTATCATTGCTATTAATTTTTGATCAAATAGATAAAATACTACCAAGCTTTAAAAATGAGTTAGGTTTAATTAATAATAATATATTGCAAGTTTTTTTATACTTTTAAATTCGTTCTTTCATTCATAAAGAATATATAATCGGCACACACATATTTAACAAACTTGTATTATTATTATTAATGTTATTAATGATATTGTTTGAAATATAAAAAATAGAGAAAATCCCTAAACTAAGGGTTGTAACAAGAAACGCTGCCAAAAAATCAAAAAGAAAAGCTGCTGTAGCAGCAGCAGCAGCTATAACAACTACTATGGAATATTACACCAGGAATAGTCTTATCCTTAATGCTAAAAATAACACCAACACGATCACTTCTAAACCTTCCATAAAGAAAACTAAAAAAATAACCAAAATTCAAAAACCCTCCTCTTCCAGTAACAATATTAAGCCTAAAAAATCAAATATCAAGATCAACAACAATGATCATATTATCATTAGTATTAATAATAATGAAGATACTGATTTTAAAAATGTCAATGGCAGCAATTATAATGTGATTAATAGTGATGATGATATTAACGACTTTTTTAATGAATCATCAAATTCATCAATACGTGTACCAAAAAGAAATATTGCAAGAATTGCGTCCATAAAGAAAAATTTAAAACGTGGGAATAAAACCAAAATCACTCGGGGATGTTCTGAAGAGGAAGAAGTTGAAAACAATATTGATAACGGTGGAATAAATTTTCGTTGTGTATGTGAGAAACCACGTAAGTTAATCAATCAATCAATCAATCAATCAATTATTCATTCATTCATTCCAATTTTTAATTATTGACCTTTCTTTTTTTTTTTTGAAATGGAAATTTAAGTTTTTAATACTGCAATGATTCAATGCTGGGGATGTAATTGTTGGCAACATTGTGTTTGCGTTGGAATTTACGGTTCATACCCTGGAGAATATTATTGCTCGGAATGTCGAGTCGAAGGATTTTGACTTTAAAATTAATTTTTTTTTTGCTTCAATTTATCTCTTTCTAATAACTAAGATCATTGATTGTGATAGTGTATAATAAATAATCTATATTTTTATCTTTTTAAACAATTATGTTACACAAGTATTTTATAAATACTAAATTTCTAAATAAAATGGCACTTCCACCTCAATATTCTGGTAAACTTGTATTCATTTTAAATTTTAATGAATTTAAATCGATTAAATAGAAATTGATATTATAAATATAAAACAAACAAAGGACATCGATGGGGCCCTGCCAATGCGGTACATGTGTTGGAAGCTTATTTAGATTATGTGGTATGCGTGTGAACTTTTTACTTTTCATCCCATAATTAATCGATTAGTGACTTTTATTCACGAATCAATTGATCATTTCTTTTATTACTTCTGTTTTTGTATAGTGTCCATTCTCTGCAAGATTATACAAAAGACTTAGATCAGTAAGTAACTCAATTCCAATCAATCACTCGCTCGATCTTATTTATCGTTCAATCAAATAACTTTTTTATAGGAAGTTTTTCCATATATCAAAGAAAAATATCCAGGAAAAGTGCAATTCATCTTTCGTCAACAAGTTCAACCGTGGCATCCATTTTCAACTGTTGTTCATGAAGTAAAAAATTACTTTGAAAAATATGAACAGTTTTTTTTTTATAAAGTTTATATAATAATATAATAATAATAAATGATTAGGCAGCTATTGCGGTTGAAAAAATTGACGCGGAAAAATATTTTGAATTTTCGGATAGACTTTTTGATGCTCAAAAAGAGTACGTATACTGTATTTTATCTATCTTATTATCTTAATATTTCAATTAATATAATCTTTAAAAATAGATTTTATGATGAAATCGTACATCTTGAAAATCGGCAACAAACAAATTTAAGACTAGCAAAATACGCGGAACAGGTTGGAATTGATTCTTCCAAGTTTCTCGACTTACTTGATATTACTCCAGTTAAAAGTGCAGCCGATGCAAAAAATTTGGGAAACAAAGTAACCGCTGATTTAAAGTATCATATTAAATTGGCTAGACAAACTTCAATTCATGTATCACCTACGGTTCTTGTAAGTTTTATCTATCTATTTTTTTATCTATTTATTATACACATAATTATTCACGATTTTTGATTTTTTTGATTTTTAAAGTTTGATGGATTGATTGACAATAGCATAAGTTCTGGATGGACCATGGATCAATGGATTGAATATTTTGAAAAGAAGCTTGTCTAAATTAAAATTAATTATTTTATATATATATTTCTCTGTATAATAAATTTTATTGAATAGTTTGTAAAAAACCAAAATAAAAAATGAATGTGAAAAATAAACATCTATTTTAATTTCGTTTAATAAATAAACATGAAGGGATAAAAGAAAATTTTTTAAATCTAAATAATTACATTCTTTTTTAAAAAAATTAAAGTCCTTTTTTTTTTTAAAAAATAAATATTTGCGCATTTCCAACCTACTCCTGATATAAATTTCTTTTAATTAACACCTTTCATGATCTCGAAAGCTTTGATTGAAGTTTTTTCATCATTGAATTGTATCATGTATACGATAGGAGTATTGGAAGAAATATTGTTTAATGTGATTGCTACACTTGATTTATTTATTCTCTCAACGCCTGCTTCCCAAACGATTGCGTCAATTGTTTTTGATTTTTGTTTAGTAGAATATATAATTATTCTTTTACGATGTGAAGGTGTTTCTAACGACAATTTCATATTACCCCGTCCAAGATTTGTCCATACACCATAATCATTCTTTAAAAATAATTTACAACTGGATTCCATTACCTGTGTAACGGTTTGTTCTAATTCACTTGCTTGCTCATTTTTTTGTAATGAAGATGACCTGGAATAAATTATTCCTCCGGGTACTTGAAGTCCTGTATCACTTTGTATCGGTGCCTGGGGTACTATTACTTCATTTGTCATTGCTTTTGCTTTTGTTATACTTTCAACTAAATTGTCTGCATCAGCTGGAGTTGGGGTGCTAAACCGGTAATATTCGGTATCTGGACCAATATCACATGAAACACTTACAGCTACTTTTGATTCACGAAATAGTGTAGTATGAGAATGAATCCACGAATTGAGAATCATTTGCCCATTTTTAGCTAGTAAAACAACTAAACATGGTCTTTTAATGGATGTCATCTTCAATTCTACTATACACTTATCATTAATAAACAGTTCCCATTCATCGTTTATCCAACGGCAAATTTCGGATGGTGGCGTTTGATAAAGTGTCTCTACAAATGATCCAATACTATTTACCGATTCCAATGAACTCATTGAATCGTTTCTGCTTGATGCTCCTAGAGGGGATGATAATGGAGAAGGTAATGATAATGGTAAAGTTGATGGAGGGGATAATGGAGGTTGTAGTGGTTGTAGTGGTTGTAATGACTGTAATGGCTGCAATGGAGATAATTGATTATTCATCAACGTGTTATCATATCCTGAATCAGTGCTTGATAAATTTTCTATACTTGGACTTTTTCTCAGCATTTCAATCGGTTGTCGAGGTGTTGGAAAATTGGGATTGCTACCAACTTTACGAAGTGATGGTACCATTTCATTTTTATTGTTATTCTGTGGAGTTGCCGCTATTTATTTTAAAATCAATTATATCGATTAATTAATATATATTATATGTACGTATGTATGTATTTGTAATATTTGTAATATATATTTTACATATAGATATACCTTGAACAGCAAAATCTATTACTTTTGAGATTGCTTCGAACCATGTTGCTTTAATTTCTTGTCTTTCTGCGCGAAGAATTAAAGTATCTTTTTTTAGAACTGTCAAACTCATCAAGTCTGCAAAAAAATATATGTGTATTATAATTAATAATAATAAAACAACGACAATAAAAATCAACAACAACAACAACAACAACAACAACAACAACAACAACAGCAACAACAACAACAACAACAACAACAACAACAATAATTTACCTCCATCTTCATCGTCTATATCTTCAAGAACTAAGTGGCGACCACTTAATGGTGGAAATAATAACCAAAATTCCTTTAAAGGATTGTGTATTTTTTCCTCCTGAGTAAATTGTCGACATATCAATAATAAATCTGTCAATAAAAATAAGCGTACACCAATCTCTACTGCCTCAAAGTTTTCCTTTTTTGGAAGAAAAATATTGAATTCTTCTTGAAACAACAACTCTCTTTGAAATGGTAAATGAGGTGGAAGAAGAACAATGTTTACTTTCTAATAATAAATAATAAATAGATAAGCAAATCATTAATATTGATAATAATGGTGGCAATCATTAATCATTAATTATAATATTGTAAAAGATAAACCTTTGGTTGTCTAGAAAATAAATCCACTGCTTCAGTTACATCTAGCATACTCTCAAATTCCTGTAAAGTCCATTGATAATTACGTGGATGTAGTAGGTTTTGAACAATTGGCGGGGATTTTAAATCCTTTTCCAAATCGCCTTGAGAATTTTCCGGATCAATAACTGTATATTTTACCGCTTGCGGTATTGGTGGTGGTAAAGAGGGGGTTTCTAAGTCAGATTGAGAATCTAATGGATTGATAACTGTGTATTTTACTGTTTGTGGCACTGGTAATGGCATGTCAACATTATCATCATCGATTTCGTTTTGATCAATTTCTCTTCTTTTTGGTCTCGGATCTATGTTTGATCCTTTAGCATGTTTTTTTTCTAATTCTATAAGTGCATCAATATGTGTATTGGCTTCTGCTAAAAGATTATAATCTTTCCGACCAGGTTCTGAACCTCTCAAAAGCCGCTAAGAATTAATTATAAAGTGGGAGGAAAATATTATTAATTGAGTTGTTATATTTATGTTGGAAATTGGTCATCAAAATTTTTACCATATATAATTTTTTGTAATAATGTAATCTTTTCAATGGCATTTCGAAAAAAAAATTCAAATCTACTGGTCGATTCTTTTCAGCAGAGATGTCCTAATTAATTAATTAATAAAATTATTAATATTTATTTTAAACATCATTATTAAAAAATTAATTCTAATCCAAACTTCTCTTTACATTCAATGTTTGTTGCAGAACCAAATTCTCTTCAATTTCTGGCCATTCATCAAAACCTTTTCTAAACTGTTTACAATAAATTGTATAAGAAGGTTCCATTTGATCCACCTAAAATATTGTAAAATATTAATATATACATATATATAATAAATACAAACGCATTACAAATATATACAATTTGATTTTTACCCAATTAATCAATATTTCTGCTAATTCTGTTAAATATTGCGGATCTAATCCTATATTATTAAGATGCTAAATATATGTATATTTAATAATTTTAATTTATCGTACGTATATATAAGGAAAGAGTAATGAATACAACGCTTACATTGTAAAAATTACTATTTTGTACATAAATTTCATCAACAAGTTGAAACATGGAATCTAATTCACGAGGTGGAGGATTATTACGGTCCCAGCTTTTAGTAACTCGCTATTTTTTTAATAAATGTCAAGACATAAATAAACACATATAATCGATATTTGAACATTCAATAATTAAAAAAACCTGTAATAAACATCTTAAATCTTCCACATATTTTTCTTCCGTTTCTATTAAGTCTATTATTGGATTGTTTCTTGGGTTTGACTTGGATGGTGATAAATTTGGAGATCTTGGTGGTGGTGGTATTTGCGGGTAGTTTATCTATTTGTAAAGAAAAAAAAAAATGAAAACTTTGAATAAAGGAAAGAATCTGAAAGCTTTCTAATTCGTAAAACTTACGGCTGAAGGATATGGCTGGTTCATTGTAGGTAAGTTTATATGTAAATTTTATTTGTATTGTATATTTATAATATTTATATTGTTTTAAAAAAAATGAGTGATAAAAAAATTGAAATGGGTTTTTTTTGTTTGTGTTGCAAAATTAATTAGTTAATTAGATAGAATCTTCGGACTGTGTAACAACTTGTTTTTATCCATTAAAAGCTTTCTAACTATTTTTAGATCTAAAAGATCTCTCTAAGTAAAGCCCATATTTACTTTGAATGCGAGGAGATCGGGCGTTACTTTGTGGGGATTGTGTACTATTACTATATACTATTATTGAAGACTGGAGAAATTTTATTCATTTCATAAAATGAAAGAAGTCTTATTTTCAAATTTATTTCCAAATTTAGTTATTTTTTCGTGACGTGTTAAAACCATTTATCGTTATATGAAATGTCATTTCTTTATGACTAACTTTCAATGAAATGGTGACTTTTATCAATCGGTCCATTTATTTTTTTATTAAAAAAAAAAATGTCAGTTGCTGATCCTTAAAATGCTAAGGATCGAAAACATATTAATATGGAAATTGTAAAAAATAATAATAACTCTATTTTTTGTAATCTAGATAACCTAAGTTTTAGTACAAGAGTTTAAGGTTAACACGATTACTATATATGAAAAATTAATTTTAAAAAATAGTTTTATCGCTTTGATATAATAATATATGTAATATTAACATTAATATTTACACAATTTCGCATGTGGTCCTATCTATATGTGATCACGACTTAATTCCTTAGTAATAGCAATATCCTAAAAAGGCATTAAAGCTATATACTTATATTGGATGTACAGAAAGAATTGTTACGCGGAAAAATATTTATTATTTATATTTATATTAAAATTTAAATAATTTATTTTAAAAATTAACTGTTAATATAAATATAGTCAATAATTTACACACATAATTTATATGATTTACATTATGAATTATTTAAAAATTACAAAAAGTTAAATGGTTTGTTTAATTTTTTTAAAAATCTTATTATAAAAAAAGTGAATAAAAACATGTTATCTCCAGGAATTTCTTACTTTATTTATCTACATCTTCGTTCTTTTTCTTTTTAGTAACGAGATCTCGAATTCCAAGAATTGCATTTAAAATTATCACACCAATTAACATTCCAAAAATGACAAATTCAAATGATTCTATCGCAATTTCAAGGCTATCGTTAGGACCATTCAAGAATGGTATCAACATGCACACAATTGCAAACTTCAAAAATGATATGCATATTTTCAAGCAGTTCATTGTTCGTGTTTTAAAAGGTCTGAAATATAGTAATAAGGCAAAGCATATTATTTCTGTTGAAAACAACGCAGCAATTTGTGCAGCAATACTATTTTGACCCAATCCAATGACAATGCCTCGAATAAAATCACAAGTGAATATTAATGCGAAAAACCAGATGCGAGTTTCCTTCGCATCTGTGTGATTCCGATATTGATTGTAGATCGAGCCATAAAGGAAAGTGTGAGCTGGTTTCTCGAATTCGTCCTGGTTTTTAATAAAATCAAGAAAAATTTTGTAGCTACAAAAGGCTATCGCACAAACAGAAAAGAATGATATGCAAAATCCGGAAAGTACAAGAAATAACCAGCAGTCATTGTTAAGTGATAGTTGATAGGAAGAGAAAACTGTTAACGGATAGTAAAATAGTAACAGCTGGAAAATAAAGTAAGATAAAAAGGTTTGTAATTACATCTTAAATTCACAAACACCACAAATTATTATTTAATACTTACTACACGTAAAATTCCACCTTGATAATAAAAAAGAGAAATCAGAAAAATGTCAGTTCCTGTTATCAATATTCGCCTACATAAATTATAATGCATTTGGAATTCGACTTACCAAGCACCAAAAAGTGAATATTATTTGCTACCGTTTTTAAGATAGGCCATTTTTTCCATAAGGATTTACACAACCATGCAACCAACCCAGCCAATGATGCAATAACAGCTGCAATTGCCATTGCTGAACAGAATGTGATAAGCATAACAAAAAATAAGTTATATGTTGGAATACTTAACGCCTTTGCATAACTCCCGAACCCAGTCCTACTAGTTAATTCTGGATCGGTTCCCAGTGTGCTAATTATACTGATATAAGTAGTATCAATAATATAGCATATTGCACTTCGTATTTTCTCATCTGCAATATCAGACAGAAATTTAATGTCCAGGCCATTTGGCAACCCAAATGACCATCCAAGTTGAGATGCCAAATTCCGATAATTATCTGAAAGATGGATCAAGGAAACTAGAGCCACGGTTACAAAAAATTGAAGGGTATGGAAGATATCATATATCGATGGTGATTGACGAGTAACTGCCTTTTTAGTTGGTTGTTGAGAAATAGGTTTTTTGACAGGCTGATTATATATAATGGAACAGCACAATATTGGTTAGGTAATGTGCAATATGCAAAAATTGACTCTGTGACTCTGAATACATACCATAACATAAGGTTCTGTATCTACAGGAATCTTTACTGTATCTATAGGAATATTTGTTGTATCTGCAGGAATATTTTCCTTATCTACAGGAATATTTCTCTTATCTGCAGGAATATTTGCTGTATCCGCAGGAATATTTTCATTTACGGGGGAATTTACTGTTGAGTTAGTGTTGGTTTTCGACATGCCAACTTTTGCTACCACAAAGCCGACTACCACAAAAACTGCTCCAACAACCGATATAATATTGAATCCCTTTGATGTTGGCGGTGGTGATGATGTGGGAAAGGGAGGCAATTCAGTGTTAGTAGAACTGGAGCTGGTGCTAGAAGTGGGACTGGTGCCGGGATTGATTTTGGGATCATTACCGGGAGTGGGTGGTGGAGGGGTAAAATTTTTTATAGCAGAATCAACGGCATTAAAAATTTTTAGCAAATTGGGAGTTGTAGGAGGTGTTGAGAAATAGGTTTTGAATTCGGCATGAAGGTTTATGGAGCATTCATTATTTTTGAAAAGCTTTGCAAAACGATTTAGATTATATGGAGTTATTGCAGTTTTGTAATTTGCTTCCACATATGGTTCGTTGTTTTTGATATAGCAATATTCTAAATAATTAAACAAATATTTATCAAATTATTGCGCCAGTTTAAGAAAAACAATTGATTGACGGAATTATGAATAATAAACCTACCATTCCCTGATTTACTACAGTAATAACTCCTCATGGGTTGAGCAACATAAAATTCAAACATAGTTCTTTCAGCTAACATTCCAGCCATATCATTATTGCCATTGTTATACGTATTCAATTGAGCATTACAGGCATTATTAACTTCTGTATAAGCTTCTGTAACATGATTAGTAGTGCATCCATTTTCGGTGGATTTACAAGTTGTATCTAAAGCCATTTCTTTTGAGTTTCCTGTATCAACGTAATAACTGAATAAATACTCCACTTGGCATTTATCATCAGTAATTGGTCCTTTATTATTTAGTGGGTAGTTTTCGTAGCGAAAGATCGAGTATTTGTTAAGTGCTTTTCCACAAGCTGAACATGGATCAAGACCGGGAGCAATGGCAGACCAGTAACCAGCCATTGCATTACAATCAACTTGAGCATATGTAAAATTGATCAATGCATTTAAGAGTACGAAGAAGATAATTGATTTGATCATTTTTGTAAGAAGAAAGTTTTTGACAATTTAATTATTTGTATGTATCGATCATTCAACTTCAATCTTGCATTAAATAATGATATTTATTTTTAAAAGTAAAATGAGTTCCTTTTATGGAATGTTATAGATGGGCGTATTTAATAAAATAAATAAAGAATAATGTAACGAAAACAAATCTGTTCGGTAAAGTGGTTGAAAAGTTTGAAAACTAAATTGAATATGGTATTATTATGAACTTTTCAATCTAACAAGTAAACTTATCTATTATTATTATATTCTTTAGTTAATATGCTATCTATCATGTATATGTATTTGAATCGTATAATAACAACAACCACGAACTCCGTTATTAAAGCAAAACGAAACTATACCGTTAAAGGTTTCCAATGAATATTCTCTAATACCAAGTAAAGCTACGTACGCTATTCAAAAATGACATTAATGTTTTCGTTTCGTGTTTCGCAAAAATATAGAATAGTCATTGACAAAAACTTGTTCAATTGACAAATATTACACTGTATCCAAAAACGATGATTTTTTTATTCGGTAAAGAAATATTGAATAATAGTAATTTTAGGTTTTTGTTGATTTTGTATTAGTGCTAAACATGCACTTGATCACAAAAAAACTAGTTTTTTTTATTAATTATTACATTCATTATTTTGAAGCATTTATTGATTATAACCTTTGAGATTCCATTTTGGGAGAAAATTTAAATTTGCAAAAACCAGTAAAATCAAGTTCGTTAAATGCAAATACTCGAAGTAGATGGCCCAAAATGCAAAAATGCAAATGGAAATAATAGATATAAAACATTAAATATTTCAATGGATTTATTAGAAAGCGCATGTTTGAATATTTTTGTAATTTGAAAAACTATCACGCCAGATATTCTCAACTTTTGCAAATTTGGTAAAATATGCTTCTTTTCTCTCTGGTGCTGGTATGAGCTTGGAATTTACAAGTGCTCATCTAAAATAGATTTTCTTTCGTATGTGAGCAATATCTATAATCTTAAAAAAAATTTTTTTATCTAGATATAAGTCACGTGAAATATGCATTTAATATAGTTCAAAGTGGGGAAGTTTAACTTTTCCGAAATTCCAAATCAACTATATAGTACTAGCAATGAATCATTAGTTTTAGAAACAACTTGATTAAACCTGCCTAATAATTTGTTTTGATTTTAGGATTCCATTATTGGAAGGTAATGCTTACACAGACTTTCCATTTATTTCAATTGATTGATTGCTTTTTTCTTTTCTTTTTATTATTATATATAAATTAAAATCATGTTTAGCAAAGGTACAATAAAATGAATTCATTTTTATTGATATGGATTTTGTGATAGATAAAATTAATAAATTCCCTGATGACACCAAAATTTTGGTGTAATTGTGGTGGATTGAGATTTTAACAATGTGGATGTGAAATTATTTTTTAGATTAACTTAATTCATACACATAATAAATACAATTAGTGATTTTTAATCATGGATCAAATGAAATCGTTTGTATTTCTCATTCATTGTTTTCTATTGTGGCATTATTTAGTGTTGTCGTGGACTCTTAAGAATCATTAATAATATAGAGAAATTGAATGCTTTCTTTTTGTTATATAATTTGAATTACTAATCATTTACATAATAATATTCAAATAAACTTTGTAATTAAATGGGCCATCAAGCAACCGTCAATATTCATACTTTTGCTAGAAGCGAGACAAATTAAATAGTAAACTTTTGTTCGATTAATGGAAAATTTTTTCTATAAATAAACTACTTTAGGTGTAAAACCAAATATAGATTATTGTTGTTGTTTAAACTTTTTCCATACAATGGTCGTCAATTATTAGAACAAAGTCTTTGATGTAACAATTTCTTATTAATCAAGAGATCAAAACCTTTAATACCACCCAACTCTATGAGAAATTGTAAAGAATGTGTATTTTCTATTATTAAAAAAATTAATTTGAATATTAATTCGAGGCTTTTATTTTCTAATGTATTACATAACTTTTGTTAAGGAATTTTGCACCCAAACCCTTCATATTACAAGCTTTATAGGTAGATATAAATATGGCATTTATATTGATTTGAATATTGACATATTTATTTTAAATATGATGGGCGATTGATATTTAAATCGTACCATTGTTGTGGATTTGCTAGCGTAACGTGGTCAAGGTCGGTCGAAAATATTTTGGTGTGGGAAAGTATTTTGGCAAATGACGAAAGGTAAATTTTGATCATGTTGCTTAATTGGATACTTCCTTTTTCCATGTAGAAATTGCAAGCCTCATTATAGAATCACCTGATGACTGTTGATGCTTTTCCATTACTATTTCCGGAAATAAATGCTCGTTTATTGGTCCATTTCGTTAACTAAACGAGTCATGAGTAGAAGGCATTTCACGATTTTAGGTTTTTGGACAATATTTGCAAGATGAATGTGACCTTTTGTATTTTCCTTTCCTTTAACAAATTGTGGCACACAGGACTATTTCTTGATTATTGTTAAATGAATTTTCAGATGTATTATCTAAATTTAATTCATATTTATACGATGACGATGATTGAGAAGGAGTGATGAATTAGAATTCGACATGATTTTTTTTGTTCAATTTATTTTTTGAACCATGTAAATGTAAAAAATACACATTTTGAGTGCCTATTTTGGCGATGTGATAAAGGGTGGCGAGACTTTCTTTATCCCTCCTTTATAAAGCCTCTCATTTGTATAAATATTTACGTTATAATGAAACCATATATGTTCGCTTGTAGCTTCACTATGTTGGATGCTGATCGTCCTAATGACTGAACCATTGAAACAATAGATATTCTTTAAACATCTTTTCATTAATAAATAAAATTTTACTCTATAAAAATCTATTAAATAAATATATTACAAATTTTTTTAAACAAAAAACAATCAACTAATGATAATAACAAAATATACAATAATAATTAATTTTTTAAAGCTTTGATTTCATTCATTAAATTTTGCATTTGTATTAGTAATTGATTATTAGCTTGTATCAATTCATTTCTAAGATTTTCTTCAGTTTTCTTAATGTTATCTTCAAACCTTTTTTCTATTTTCTTCAGGTCATTTTTAATATTTTGTTCAGACCTCTTTCCAACAGTTTCGAATTTTGTTTCAATTTTGTCTTTTTTATGGATATCAACATAATCTCTAAGTTCATTAGAAATGAATGGTAGAAGTTCAGCATCTTCTTCACTATCGTCAATCTCTCTGATTTTTTTACGAATGTCTTCAACTGGTACATCGTAGGTTCTAATAAATAAATCGTCAAATTACAATCAATACAATAGTTTTAAAAATAATAAAAAAAGCAAAAAGTAATTAATTAAAGGTTTATATTTACAATATATCAGGAAACCAAGTTCTCCAACGACGTTGATTTGGAAGCAAGTAAAACAATTCAATTTCTGTGATGATTTTTGCTTTTTGAGCCAAGAAAGCTTCCTGTGTGTTATTTTCTTCAATTGCATTACTCAATAGACCAATGAATAAATTCATAAGATACACCACAACCGAAAACGAAAATATAACAAATAAGAATGCCAAATAAGGATCACTTTGTAATGACCAAGGTCCAAATGCTCCACTATCGCCTATTAAAAAAAATGCATATTATTACTATGTTAATGAAATATATATCAAAAAAAAAAAAAGAAAAATAATAATGTTACCTGAAAGAAAATTATACATTGCCAGCATTGAAGTATCATAATGAGAAAACATATTGGTAGTATCATCAGGTTGTTGGACAAAATATGGATATTGACTATAAGAATTATTATTTGCAAAATATGCAGAATATTTATTAACAAGATTCCAAGGATTGTTGTCATCATCACTGGCAGTAGTATTGTTTACATCAAACTCTTCATCTGGTCTCAACAATATAAAGAACGCATGTGAAAAGCTCACAATGATTATAAATAGAATCACCAAAAATGAAAAAACTTTTTTTGCAACTCCTATAATGATTGCAAAGTACGCTCCAAAATATTGAAAACCTCTTAAAAATAACATGAATTTTAAATCCAATAATAAATTAGACATTGAAACCAACGGCTTAGGTGGTGCAGTTTCCTTAGTTAATAAAAAAAATGAAGTGATAATTGGTAACATGTAAGCTCCGATATCTATCGAGTAATTGTAATGTTAAGTAAGATTAATAAATCTAATAATAGATTATTATTATTATTACATTATAAACATAAATCTTACCAAAATAATTCCAAAAATCTGTAATATATTTTCTTGGATTCCAGATGTATTGTCTAACTTCAAAATTGAGATGAAAAAATCCAAGAAAAATTGTTATAATTAATAATGTTTTTCTGATATCGTCATTTAAATCATTTGGTGAAATAGTTGTTGCAATAGCAAAGCATAATAAAAATATTATATATATTAGCCAAGTTCCAAAATAATACATTTTTCCAAAGGTATTCCATTTGAAATTCAAGATAATTTCACCATTCCAATGCTTATATATTTCCAAAGTATTTAATTGAATAAAAACATTATTTGTTGGTTTATAAAATAATTCTTTCCAATATGAATAATTATTATCATAACTGATAAATCCAACGTATGGAATCATTAATTTTATAGCAGGTTTTTGTGTGCTGTTTGAGTATTTGTAAAATCTTTCATTTATAAATTTTTTTTTATAGTAATGTATATAATTATAATAAAATTTCCAAAAACTTTTTTCATTATAAAGCATTTTTTCGTGAGTAGCAGCATTATAGAAATTATTTGAAGTCCTAGGTGTATCTTCAAGTACAAATATCATTGAAGTTTGACTAAAGAATTTTGATAATAATCTAGGATAATTTTTTTCAAACTTTGGTAATTCTGAAAGGATTATTTTTAATATGCTGA